TTCTACAAACTACAAATAGAGTAACTAAACACAGAACTTGGTGTAGGTGACAGAACTTCAAGTCGGAAAGTAGAATTTAAATATCAAGTTCACCTTATCAGGAAAACATATAGTCATGAGTTAAAGAATACACTGTTTTAAATAGTCAAATAAATGAGAAGGAATAAGTAATATAAGATTATGGATCCGAGATTTGACATTAATTTCATATCACGTACTTAATTCGCAGAGTTCTCTGCAGAAGGGGAAAGGATTAAGGAATCCCCTAGGTGATCAGGAAGAGAGTGGATCTCAGCTATCTTCTACCAAGTGAACACAGATCCACACAAAACCCTACATAGCCTTCTGCAATTTGCTATTTTTACCTAACATTTTGTTTTTAAGATTAAATGCTACATTTATTTTTTAAAATCTAGTAATGCTACATTTACCATCAGTTTTCATTCGCTTTAATTTAGACCCGAAGCTCAGTTTTCCCTACTTTTGCTTGTTCACTGGACAGTCTGGCCACATAAAAATTTACATCTACTGGAGAAAATGAAAGATTGCAGACAATTTCTTGAAATGCAGCTATGATTTTAATCTCATCTGTTTAGCATGAAGAAACAGATTACGAAAAAAGGCATATTTTCAGAATTTATTATATAGTTTTGAAAAATAAAGACATATGTATATTTATGTTCATCGCAACACTATTCACAATAGCAAAGACACGGAATCAACCTAAATGCCCGTCAACGGTAGACTCGATAAATAAAATGTGGTACATATACACTATGGAATCCTATGCAGCCATAAAAAAGAATGAGATCATATCTTTTGCAAGGATATGGATGGAGCTGGAGGCCATTATCTTAAGTAAACTAACACAGAACAAAACGCCAAATACACAGTGTTCCCACTCATAAGTGGGAGCTAAACAATAAGAACACATGGATACTAGGAAGGGAACAACAGACACTGGGGCCTACTTGACGGGGAAGTGGGGAGGAGGGAGAGAATCACAAAAGAATACTGATCAGGTACTATGTTTATTACCCAAGTGACAAAATTATTTGTACAAAAACCCCCCGTGACACACAGTCTACCTAGACAACAAACTTGCACATGTATCCCTGAACCTAAAATATAAGTTAAAAAAAAAAAAGCAAAATAGAAATAATCTAAGCTATTCAAGTAATGACCCAAAAGTTCTTCCATATGTTATGAAGACCAGTAAATGCATTACTAAGCAGTTAGGCTGAGATAAGGGTGAGAGAGAGAGAGGTTTGTTGCTAGGATTTAGTGGTCCTGTAGTCTAGTCCTGACTCTGCTGTCACAGTTTATTTAACTTCTTTGGGCTCTCAATTTTCTCATCTATAACATTAATCAGTTGGCCGGGCTCAGTGGCTAACGTCTTTAATCCCAGCACTTTGGGAGTCCGAGCGGGAGGTGGATCACCTAAGGTCAGGAGATCAAGACCAGCCTGGCCAACATGGTGAAACCCCATCTCAACCAAAACTACAAAAATTAGCCGGGCGTGGTGGCATGCGCCTGTAATCCCAGCTACTCAGGAGGCTGAGACAGGAGAATCGCTCGAACGTAGGAAGCGGAAGTTGCAGTGAGCCAGGATCACGCCACTGCACTCCAGCCTGGCAACAGAGTGAGAATCTGTCTCAATAAATAAAATAAAATAAAATAAATCGGTTGGACCAGATGTCCTTGATGCTAATTTTCAATGATCTGTGACCTCATACAATAAAAACTATAAAGACCAAAAATTTATTCTAGCTCACATGCTTTCATTTTCTGTATGAAACAAATTTTCACTATGATATGTTGGTGAAAAAAGTACATCGTGTATGAGTACCCATTTCTCAGGACATAGAGTATATTTAACTATTTAGCTTATATAGTCATGTAATTTTGCCTACATTGCACACTTTGTTCACATCTATAATTTATTTACTTCTGAGTCCTTGCTGATAGGCCCCTCCCCTGATTATGATATTGCTTTTGGGGTGAAATAGGATCCACTTCCATGATCTGTGCCATGGAGATTCAGGAGCACATTGTAGAAACTTCTCTATGTAGGTGAACGATAAGGACTACTGATGTAGGCATACTGTGTTAGAATCACCTGCAGATTATTTGGCAGTTTTAAAAATTATTCCTGGATCCTTCTGTTATAAGGATAGGGCCCTTTACTAAAGCTGCAAGCTGCAGAATCCTCCTCAATCTTTTAATTTTTTTAGCTTTTATTTTTTTAAGCTACTCGTGCTGGAATGGGAACCTCCTCAATCTTCGTCAGAAAAACAACAACAACAATTGAATTGTAGAGGTTTTTTAAATTCCTGATCACAGATACAAATAATTAGTGGTCTGGAAAGTAGTTAAGTGTAATAAAAAATATAATGTCCCTTATAACATTGAGAGCTTTATAGTAGCACAAAGGATGCCACACCCAACCCACCTCCCTCATCCTCCCACTATTACCAACCCTGGTCCACAATTTCAAAAGAGACGGCCTAAAATTCTTTTTAAGCCATCATTTACATTGAAGCCAATTTAAAAGTGTGATCAGGGATATAGACAACACATGTGCTAGAGCTATAAAATAAATTTTGGTGATTGCCCAGTCATTTAATATCTTTTTTTAACCAATATTCCCTTTCTAAAAACATAAATTTATATGAATAATGGATTATTTATAATGATTTGCCTGTGAATAACCCATTTCCCCTTCTTTGTCATGGAGGGAATAATCCTAATTTATTGCTGGGGGAGTTGTGGTATACTGTCTTATTTCAAAAAGAAACAATCTACTTTTGTGAAAAACCATCCTAGCATGTAACATTTTAGCACACTGTTACTCAAGATGTTTGCACTCATAGACACTAATTGTATGATGTCTTTGGGATGTGATAAAATTATGTTTAAAATTCATGTTAAAGCTATAGGTTTTTTTTTTCTTTTCTGATCTACATATCAGCCTTACCTCCATGGACTTCACTAATTATATTTAAGGAATTAGAAAACTTCCTTCCTTAATTTTATTCTCATTAATTTTTCTAGGACATTTATCTATTAAATAAAATGGGTTGTTAAAGTATGTTAAGTGTGTAAGGCATGTAACCAGTCAAATGTCAAGGTTCTGAGTAGGTTGGATTTCACGATCAAGGATAATCTCTTAATATTCACAATCTCATTCTTACATATTCCCATCCCCCCGAAGTCTTTCATTTCACTTCTATTCATTCTTACTTACTCCTACTAATATCTCCATTTAGATTCTCTCATCTGATCTTTCCCATACCTCTTGCTCCACAGTAAGTTTTATTTTCCCCACTTACATTAATCACATCTACTCTGATCTGTGGGCATTTTTCACCTAAAACCCAGCAAAGGAAACATTGTCAACCTGTCAAAAAAAAAAAAAAAAAAAAGTGCTGTGATTGTGGAGGACAGATAAGCAGGTGGTAATAAAAGCATTCTAGTGAATCTGAACCAGGGAACCTGCTGGGCTGGCCTGACTCAGAGGTGGTAAGAGAAGGCAACAGGAGGCAGGAGGCAGCCCCATCACTGTCCGTTCCGAGAGCAGAAATGAGGTGGGTGCTCCCTACCTCAAGGTAGCAAGGGGGAAAATTCTCTAAGGAAGAGTCCCAGCAAGATCAAGTATCAGTGCCATGTCCAAGGGGTCAGAGAAATAACCAAAGTCAGTGTGGTAGGGCCATGAGTTTACCTTGTGGTTTGGCTTTATGTGGGTATATGGAAGTGCCAGCAGCTGAGCTGAGAACTGTCAAGAGAGGCAGAAAGCAGATGTGTCAGAGATTTAGGGCCTTAATGGAAGTGAAATGTGATGGCAGAAGACACCACAAGAGTTGCTGAGGCGTCAGTTAGGAAGTGAACTGCAGAACTGGCAGAGGCTGCTGGGCCTGTTGAGGCACCAGGAGTGACAAAGAAGACTGGCAGCTGTAGAGCATAGACCAGATTGGCCAGTACAACAGCAGAGGGCCATGCTGGGCTTTGACTTAGGAATCCTGGTGGAGGCAATGATGAGAGAGAAAAGATGAGACCAGTAGGTAAGCCAAGGTAGTTGTCAGGATAGGAGACAGGCAGGCCAGATGGCTGTTAACCATGTGGTGTGTCCCGACTTTCCAGCATCAATTTAATGGCCAAATTAAAATGTTTAAGTCAACTTAAGCCAAGGTCAATTTTAATCCTATGCTTTGCTGGTGACACAGAATCATTAACTGTATCAATAATGCCCACATTCAACTCATTCTACAATGGGGGCAATTGTAATTTTGGTCTGGTTATGTTTAACAAAATGGAAAGGAAGAAGGCACAACCAAGGAACTTTTTTTTTTTCTTTTTTTTTTTTTTTTTTTGATGGAGTCTCACTCTGTCGCCCAGGCTGGAGTACAGTGGTGAGATCTCGGCTCACTGCAGCCTCCACCTCCTGGGTTCAAGCAATTCTTCTGCCTCAGCCTTCCGAGTAGCTGGGATTACAGGTACGTGCTGCCACGTCCTGCTAATTTTTGTATTTTTAGTAGAGATGGGGTTTTATCATGTTGGCCAAGATGGTCTTGATCTCCTGACCTCAGGTGATCCGCCTGCCTCGGCATCCCAAAGTGTTGGAATTATAGGCGTGAGCCACCACGCCCAGCTGGAACTACTTTTTTAAATCGATGCACATTAATAAGATTTAGAAAGTCTTGCGATTTAACAGACAGTGTTGAGATTCATGTAACTTTATGTTGAGAATTCTCTTTCCAGGAATTATTTATTTCAATTAGTCACATTTTTATCTTCTACTGAAGTGTAAACTTAATTTAGTGTAAATAACTACCATTTGAATAGTAACATAATCTTTTTCTTTGTATAAAAAATACAAAAAGATTGTTTATGTGTGTGTACACATACGTGTCAAGACTAAAAATTAAGCACGGGGTAAAGGTCTTTGGCAAAGGACAAACAGTTGGCAAGTTCACAAATTAGAACTTAGAATTCCATCATGAAGTTGACTAAATTGTTAGTTTAAAGAAGATTGTGAGTGTCAGCACATAAAAAGGTAATCCTGTCTCAATTGTAGCTACAGATTGCAAGTCCTGTGTCAATTCAAATTTTTGCCAACAGATACTAATTACTTCACTGAAAGCAGATGTTTAGAAATGAAAGTGTAAACACAACCCCGGTTGATTAATATGCTTATTGTATTTCCTTGTTGTAAGTCTAGTGAATATTTGATTATCTTTAAATTGATCCATAGTATATTCAATAGTCTCATGAGAACATAATTTTTGTTGATGATTTGTCCAAAGTTTCCATCAATCCATCCTAGCAGCAGAGCCAAGTGTTAGAGTTATTGCTGCCTGAGTTATAACAGCTGCCCTGGGAATCTTGTCTGAACAACAAGTTAACTGCTGTTCCCAGTTATATCTGGTCTTTCCCACCCCCAAACATACACAAAAGATTTTTGTCATTCTTGGCATTGGACAGCAGAAGTGGTAAGACATGCCAGCAGAACTCTAAAGGCAGAATGTCCTTCCACCTGTTTTATGCTGTAAGACAAACTTCCAAGTGCGAGGCAGTGTGGAGGACTGTTTCCTTGAATGGCAACTGAATGCACCAGCGGGATCCTTGGCAGCAATGCCCAGGCACTGAAGCCGGGCATTCAGGAGAGCTAAATGGAGAAAAAAAACTTGAGCAAACTGCTTCCTGGAACACTGAGAACCTGAATGGGAAATTAAGAAGAACCAGATTCTTTCTATTCTTCCACCAGCCAAGGTCAGATTTCCAAACTCCTATTGATTCTAATCTTTCCCAAACAGTGCTGTGGCAATGTATGAAAGTAATAAAAATAATCCTTTTTCTGTTAAAAAAAAAAATTGCTGTTACTTGCTGTTTTGTTATACTTTTGCTCGAGAACATTTCCCCCCATCTTAAAGCAGCAACTTCAGGATGGGGGAATCAAGCAAAACCATGGTGAAGAGATTTAAAGAGGACAAGTGACTTATTCTACATCTCAGGAGACAGTTCCTTAAGGTGAGAGGTGTTGGCTATGCCAGCTTGCTTATGGCCTCTTTTGATGTTATCTTAGCAAAAAGCTGGGGTGAATCTTCCCTAGTTTGGGAGACTTTGAGGCAGGGATAACTGCCACAGTAAAAGACCCATTAACAGTAAGGAGGGTAAATGGATAGCAAAAAACCTAGGAGAATCCACAGGCCTTTGTTAATTTTACCCTATCTGCCTGGTGTTTCTGGAACTCTAGTTTCAAACTTAGAATACCCGGAATCCCAACAGCTGAGGAAAGTAATAACCAGTGTCTGGGGGCGAGGGTGGGGAGGGAAGCAAGGGTAGAAAGAGGATGAGAATTCTTCTAGTTATTTTCAGTTTTTACTGAAACTGAAACTTTAAGTTTTAGGAAACTTAAAGATAATTGTTTGTTTACTTAAAATACAACCTCAAGGATACTTTTAGTTAAAAAAAAATTTCTTGACTCCTTGATTTCCTCTTGGGAAGATTATTATTTAACAAAAATATGTAATATGTATTTATAAACAAAATCTTTCAGAACAGGATTCTGTGGAGGAAATAGTCTTAAAAGGACTTTTCAGCAGTGATAAGAAACACTGCTCTAAAGAAAATTGTTGGCTGGGCGCAGTGGCTCATGTCTGTAATCCCAGCACTCTGGGAGGCCGAGGAGGGTGGATCACCTGAGGTCAGGAGTTCGAGACCAGCTTGGCCAACATGGTGAAACCCTGTGTTTACTAAATACAAAAAAAGAAAAAAAATTAGCCGGGCATGATGGTGCATGCCTGTAATCCCGGCTACTTGGGAGGCTGAGGCAGGAGAATCACTTGAACCCGGGAGGCAGAGGTTGCAGTGAGCCAAGATCACACCATTGCACTCCAGCCTGGGCAACAGAAGCAAAACTGCATCTCAAAGATAAATTAATTAATTAATTAATTAATTAAATTGTTTAAGGGGTGTCATTTTCCAAATTGTTTTTATGAAAAATTTACAAACAGTGGCTAGTGTCCCACTGTACTATATATCTAATTCAATAAAAGTACTGAAGATTCAAAAAGATTGTTAGAGTGGTTGTGGGAAATTCCACAGTTGCTGTCACCAGCAGAGCCTTCCTTTACAGAGTGTCTCAGTGCCAGTATAACAAATCCCAGACACTGACTTTATTGGCCAGTGGTGCGAGGAAATAATAAACATTCAATAAAAATATTGCTTGAACCAGGAAGCCTCTTCATAGAGTTGTGGACTCTTCAGAGAGGTTTTACCAAAGTAGGGGCAGAATGTGCATACTGTCTTTCAGGGATTCAAGAAACATAGGCACCAATGTCTATTATTAGCCCTCCTGTCCTTCCATGAGCAAAACCAAAATTACTTATTTTTAATTGGCACAAAAGCACATTCAATCATTACATTATCAGACATTGCTCATGTACCTATCGTATGCCAGGCTGTGTGCTAAGAGCTGGGGATCTGAAGATGAATAAAACGTACACTGCCACAATCAGGATTGGCAACAACTGACCTAGGATTGGCAACAACTGACCTAGGTGGCTCACCTGCATTGCCTGCATAATAAGCCCGTTGGCACCTGAGGCCCCCAACCTTGTCCCCACAGGAGGGGTTCGCCCAAACTGCTCATGAGACCAGTTTCTCCCTTCCACGGATCCCAGTGCCTTCAGGTGCTGAACAGTTGACTTTCCCAGGCAACTCAGAGAGCCAGTGTCTAACCCCACACCTATGTTACTCAAGAAGTCTGATTATCCTCCCACTCACTAGGTTGTTCTCACTCTTGCCCTATAAGAAGGAGAGCAGCAAGGGGACAAGGAATGTCCACCCATGGTGTGTCCAACAGATAACTTTGGCCCATCTCTTATCTTTATTTGTTAATTCTTGCTTTGTCATTTTCCCCCAATAGAGTCCATGAGATTTCATGGAAATCATCACAAAATAACAAACCTTTTTGCGTGACAGGTGGTGATCATAAAAGGATCCATCTTATACAGTGCTTGCCATCTTCCACAATACTACTCACCACAATGCTGAAATCACCTGTTCCAGAACCAATCCTGTCCTTTGACAAGAAGAATTTAATTATCAGTTCTGGTGGGGACCGGCTGGAGAGGGAAAACACTTCAAGGACTCTGCCACCATTCCCAGATGGAGAGTGCAGAGTTTGTACCATGGAACTCCTTCTCTAACAGTTACTCTGTGGCAGTGCCTATTTTGAACCTCCCTTAACTTCTGATTGTATAGATGTTTGTTTCATTTGTTCATCTGTTTGTTCACTTAATCAGAGCTGTCTTAAGCCTTAAGAGAGATAGTGGACTAGAAAGTGCCTTGGAAAGGTACAAAGCTCAATCCAAGTAACATAACTTGAATATCAAAGATGTATTTACTATAGGTTACCAGTTCCGCTCTTGTTTGTTTGTTTGTTTTTAAACTAGGAACTTATGAAGCCTAAAATATAAAATGCATATACATGGATATGCTCTGAAGTGAGGTAGAGGGGTAGAAATCAACATTGTGATACTGTACTATAGCTTTGCAAGATGTTACCACTGGGGGAAAATGCTTGAAGCACACACAGGATATCTCTGTCTTATTTCTTACAACTGCATGTGAATCTACAGTTATCTCAAAATAAAAATTTAATTAACAGTTAATTAACAAGTAACAGCATGAATTTCTTATCCTGTCATTTTCTTCCTGAAATTGCAGAATAGCCAAACAGAAACCTACCCATGACCATCATCTGAGACTCTTTGGTGCCCATATTAGTGGACATAGGCAGGTGAATCAGGAGGCCTCCAGTTATGCATAATGGAAGATACTGACTCAACTGATATAAACAAAGGAAAATACAGAGTATTATATAATGAGACATCTTGAGTAGGGTAGTCCTAGAGTCAGTTAATTCAGCAGCTTGATTCATAATCAAAGGCCCAAATTCTTTCCCACTTTCTACCCTGCCATCCTCAGCCTATCAGTTTCGTCCTCCAGCTGGCTCAAAGGTAGCTGCAAGGTGGCTGCTATCATGCCATGCAAAATGCAAATGCAAAAAGTATGCAGACACAAAACGTATCTCTTTTCATAAGTCTCATTTTAAGGGGAAGGAAACACCTGCAGGCCTTTCTGCCAGTCTCTTGACCCACTTACTTAATTGTAGAACAAGTCACAAACACCTCTTTAAGTGGATCACTTGGCCAGGAGGGAGAGATTGCCATTATTCTTAGATGGAGGAGAATGGGGGTGGGGGTTGTTATGCCTGAACATAATCAGTGCTCTGCTGGTGAGTAAGAGCAGAGATGGGGTGATTAATAGGCAACTCCTCCCCAAGGAGCCATGGTGAAGCTTCAGGCCAGCTCAGAAGGTGATGAAGATGGAAAGGCTCCACAGCAACCAGAACGACCAGAAGGAACACACTTTTAGAACTTGCTTCTGATTCCACACCACGAGGTCAATGGGTCCAGCATGCCACACTGGTGCGGGAACTTAGAACTAAGTAAGAAACAAGGGAGAGAGGCTGCTATAGCCGAAACCCAGAGAATGAACTTTCTCCCAGGAGGTTGCAAGGGCTGTCCTTGTAAAAGATCCTGTCCTGGGTTTAAAGGTTAGCAAATTTTCTGTTTTGTTTTGCTTTGACTGCATGAGGGTTGAGTTAAAGCGAAATAATGTTTAAGGGTTATTTTTTAAATACGATATTTTAAGTTTGTTTGTTTGTTTTTTCCTGATCGGTAGAGACAGGGTCTCACTGTGTTGCCCAGGCTGGTTTTGAACACCTGGGCTCCCAATCCTCCTGCCTCAGCCTCCCAAAGGGCTGGCATCACAGGCATGTGCCACCACACCCAACCCCTTAAAAGTCTTCTTACAAATAAGAACATGAACAGTTGCCTTTCAGATTATTTATTTCCTGGTCATCACAGATTTCTCTCTTTATTTACACAAAGGGGACAGGGGTCAGTCTGTGTTTTGGAAGATGTGCCCATATTTGGTCACATATTGGAGGAGTACAAAACTGCCCAAATAAGGGATATTTATTGCCTTCCTGACTGCAGACTCAAGGAGGCAGGAACTTTGATATTTTCTGCAATGCCTATCTGTATCCACATTGCCTGTAACATAGTATATGCTCAATAAATATGGATTGAACTAATTAAAAAATTTCATTCTCTACTCCTAAACTGTAAAAACCTGGAAGGGTATATTCTTGCTGGATGGGAGCCTAAAGAAGACAGGAAGGGAGGTAAAGATCTCTCTCTCAGTCATTCTCTGTGTCCTTCATATGCCCACACGTATAGTCCTAAATGCCACTGTCTCTCAGTTGGCTTCTATCAGGACCCAAGCCCTGTAGAGACAGCAGCTTGCAGAGTCTCAATCCCAGGCAAGCAACGGGTGGGCCAGATGGAATCCCCCAGCACAGGGAAGGTCTTCCCCATCCATGTATTTGAGGAAGGAGAAAGTGGGACAGTCATTCACCAGTCTAAATCTTACTGCTAAAATTCGACCGAGTGCTACATCTCCAAACCTGGAGGGCCAAGATATCTGTCACACAGGCAGGCCAAAAATTGTTCTTCCAAGGGTGTGGACAGTGGAAGCCATATAAACACTGACCAATTAGTTCATCTACATTTTTAAAAGGTGCAGAAAATTGCTGTTCCTTTCCCCTGGAGGAACCTTACAAATGACCTTGACAAAAACCTCTCAAAACCTATAGAACCAAATTTTATTACAACGTTCTTTTTATTCCCTTGCTTCTATTTCCTCTTTTCTCTTCTTTTTCTATTTCTCTTCTCCCTTTCTTTTTCTTTCTCTTTCTTTACGTTTCTCCCTCTTTCTTCCTGCTTGTCGAGCTTTTCTTCCTCTTCCCCCTTTAAGGTGATACTTTGGAACTTGAAGTATATTATAATAATTATCTAAAGCAGTTGTTTTTTTGTTCATGGCTCCCTGACCCTTCACAAAAAAATAATTCTTCCATCCTAAATTGACTTTTATGATAGTTATCCAAAGATTTAAAGATCCAAATATGTACAAATCAAATACAATAAAAGGAAAAAATAATCATTTAAAGACTAACATTTAAGCATTTCAGCCTCTACTATTTTAAAATTAGAGTTCAACTTGATGCCATTTATATTTGAACTCCTAAAATTACAACCATCATCTGTGTTTTACAGGCTTCCTCTATCTATGCAGACATTTCCTGTTCTGTCTTCTCTTTCCCCAGAGACCCATTACAACTTGCTTATTGTTGGTTAGAGGTTATATATAGGGAAGAGGGGATCAAGGAGAAGTGGAGGAAAGGAGGAAGGCATGAGATATTGGCCCTAACCTAGATTGGTATGTTTATTCTCATCCAACTGGGTTGACTTTAGAATGAAAATATCTTCCCACTTAATTAATTTAAAATTAGTTATACAAATACGTTTTTCAAAACTCAGTACAATTATGTATGTCACACTTTTGCAGAACACCACCAATTCTCAAACCCCAGATCCACAGATCTGAGGTCAGCAATTCCAGCTAACCCTTATACAGTGCTTCCCATGTGTCAGACACTGTGCAAAGCTCTTCATGTGTATCGACTCATTTCATCCTTCAACAGCCCTACAAGGCAGGTATCTTAGTCAGCTTGGGCTGCCATAACAAAACACCATGGACTAGGTGGCTTAAACAACAATCATTTATTTTCTTACAGTTCCAGAGACTGGAAGTTCAAGACCAAGGTATAGTAGAGCTGGTGTCTGGTGAGGGCTCTCCTCATAGGTGGCAGACAGCTGCCTTCTCACTGTGTGCTCACCTGGCCTTTCCTCTGTGTTCCTCAGAGTGAGTGAGCTCTCTGGTGTCTCTTCTTATGAAGATACTAATTTATGGGATCAGGGCTCCATCTTTAACACCTCATTCAACCTTAATTACTTTCTTAGAGCCACCATATCCAAATACAGCTACACTGGGGGTTAGGGGTTCAACATATGCATTTTGGGGGACACAAACATTCAGTCCACAATGGTAGGTAATATTGGTCTCCCCATATTTCAGGTTAGGAAACTGAGGCCAGACTGGTTGAGTTTTGCCCAATGTCACACAAATAATAAGTGGCAACACTGGGACTTGAACTCCAGCATCCATACTCTTAACCACTATGCTGTGCTTTCTCTCATCACGAGTCATGACGATGATCATGTTTGATCATGTTAGATGATGTTAGATCATAACTCATCAACATCATCAACATCTAACAAATCCAACGCTTTGAGCCCATTATAGAATCATCAGAGCTTTGCCATGCTTTTTAGAAAAAATTTCCCTACAAGAATACAGTATCTCACTATTATTATATTAGAAATAGATTTCTATATTATCAAATTTAGAGAAAATAACTTATATTTACTATCAACTAGCTCTTAAAATGATTATACATCTTGATTAGTAAACAGACCTCCTTTATTTCTCTCTATATTTAAACTATTAAAACTCAACAATTAAGAAAACAACTCCTTTGAATAGTGGGCCAAAGAGCTTGACAAGACACATCATCAAAGAAGATACGTAGATAGCAAATAAGCATATGAAAAGATGCTTCACATCATCTGTCATCAGGAAAATGTCAATTAAAACAACAATGAGATACCATTACACACACCTATAGGAATGGCCAAAATCCAGAATATGACAATCCCAAATGCTGCCAAGGGTGAGGAGCAACAGGAATTCTCATTCATTGCTGGTGGGAATGCAAAATGATACAGCCACTTTGGAAGACAGGTTGGCAGTTACTTATAAAACTAAGTTTCCGTATCGTAACACAAGTAGATATAAATATAACCAGTGGTAGGGTTTTTTTAGAGGCTGTGTTATCTTTTAAGAATTTAAAGCTTTTAACCCAAATTTCTACTCAGAAAGATGGAACATTGTAATTTGATGAGATTACCCTTAGAATTCTTGCCAGTCAATGACTGCTTTTACACCAACTTACAGATTGCGCTGTGTTCAAATACGTACTGACGGGAATTTGATGAACTGACTGGCAAAAGTCTTAGAATTTTTAATTAAAGGAGATGAAGGGAACAGTGCATCAGATAACAGCAAAAGTCTCAGCATCTGGATATCCAGGTCTGAATCTTGGCTCTGCTGTGTCCTTGAGCGAGCTGCTCAACCTGTCTACACCTCAGTTTCCTCATTCATAAAATGAAGCTATGGTAGCTTCTACCTTATGTGACAATTGACTGAGAGGCTCCATGTTGAGTATAAATTAAACAGTGCCTGGATAAGTACTCACTAAAGAATCGTGTTGGTTTTTTTTTTTTTTTAAATTGTAAATTTCCAAAGAGAATGTGTGTGTATATATATATATATATATATATATATTTTTTTTTTTTTTTTTTTTTTTTTTTTTGAGACCGAGTCTCGCTCTGTCACCCAGGCTGGAGCGCAGTGGCGCAATCTCCACTCACTGCAAGCTCCGCCTCCCGGGTGTACGCCATTCTCCTGCCTCAGCCTCCCAAGTAGCTGGGACTACAGGCGCCCGCCACCTCGCCCAGCTAATTTTTGTATTTTTAGTAGAGACGGGGTTTCACCGTGTTAGCCGGGATGGTCTTGATCTCCTGATCTTGTGATCTGCCCGTCTCGGCCTCCCAAAGTGCTGGGATTACAGGCGTGAGCCACC